GTAGCAATTACATTTCAAGTCTCCTAACTCTGAGTTTAGTGGTTTTATAAAAGCACTTACAAAATTCAAGTTGCTTTTCCTAAACTTTTATTTGAATTAATCAAGATAAAGTGAAATTGATCCTCAAAGTTTAAATGACCTCTAATGCAGGGAGGGACTGAATGAACAGCAACAAACAAGCTCATTTTTCTAACTAGCCTCAAACAATATCATGTCTATATTTGTTCTCCACAAGTCACTAGAAAGCTGCACTTCCCTCCTACTAGTGTACTGTTTCCCTGTTTAAAGTGCTATCCCAAATGCCCCTACAAAGCTGCAAACTCCATAAGGTGCCAAAACTGCAGGCCTCATTCAGCTGCCACAGACATACATGAGGAGAATGCCTTTGTCCATTTTTGTGACACACTTTGCCACCTTGCCCCCAGTCTCACAACCAGCTTAATCAGCTCCCTCCTATGTGTTGCTCCATAAATTAATATAACTATATTAGGGACAGAAATGGTCTCAGGAGTTTTGCAGGGCTTTACCCTGAAGGAATATATGAACGTGTTAGTTTGCATATCAAAAGCTGCTTCACCTCAGGAGGGCATCTCAAAAGTCAGTGGCAGCTGCTTTCCAAGGTGATGCTGCAATCTCAGACCCGTGGTTTTTGCCTGCTTTGAACGACAAAGCAGGTCTGCAAGGAGCCACAGGATGAGAACTGATCAAAGAATGTCCTCCCAACAGACAGACACCTGTGGCTAAAAGCAGTTAGCCCAAGGGACAGTTCCTGCTTAAACTCCTGACTATATGTCTCAATCCACAATAACTAGATAAAGAAATATGGACCCACTATATCTCTGTTTAACCCTTCTGTTAAGCGATAGCTTTATCTTAGAACTTAGAAGTTTGTCTTTGAAAGATTTTGTAACCATTTGTTCACATAGATAGAGTTAGTTAATGAATCTACAGAAGTCTTTTGAAAGACTTTTAACCTAAAACGAACTACCTGTTATTATGTAAATCTGTTACCCCTGGCAACCGATCACTGTACCTATAAATATGCATGTAAAGCTTCACTCGTGGCCTTACGATTAACGGGGATATCGTAAAGACCCTTGAATACCCCCGCTTTGCCTTTTACCTTTATAAATCTATAAAACTATACCTTCATCTCTGTGTATTCTTTTATTTCCATT